GCTTAGAAATTGAATTATTAATCCCTAGGGAAATTGTGTCTTCCCTTTGGGAATGAAGGACCAGCGGACACCACTGTGTTCTTATCTGAAGCTCCATGATACTAGAGTCTCCATGATACAGAAGAATGGCCTCTGTATCATTGATCTGACCAGGGTGACCTTTTAAATAGTCCTCTTTGTAAATGGAGAGAAACAAAATCCTGTCAGTGTTCTTAATCATTAGAAAAAAATGCAAAATGAGAAATATAACCTGTATTTCTGGAGAACTGACTTTTGACTGGTCAAGAAAGAATTTTCCCCCTTGGCAAGACTGAGCCTCATGATGAACAGTAAATTAATTATCTTTTGGAGGAAAGTTAACTTTAAAAGTTTAGTTCAGTAAAAGTTGACTGAGTGCTCATAATATTCCAGTGCTAGAGATTGGGAGATACAAAGATAGATTAACATGGCCTCTGCCCCTCAGGAGTTTGTAGTCAGGGCTGAATCTTGCCGACACAGATGTAGACCCCAGGGATGTGGGGTAGGGATGATGATTCCACAGGCCTCACTGTGGCCTAGATAAATCTTCCTCCGGTTGCTCATTCCATACTTGCCAGCAACCTTCTATTATTCATTTGGTTTCACGGGTATCTCACCGCCAAGAAGAAAGGTGCCCTGGGTAGCAGATATGATCACTTCAGTCATTGAGGACTGCCACTTCACCCCTCACTTCCACCTTTAATTGTCATTGCACACATTAACAAATAGGCTTCTGCATTGGTTAATGTGAGCTGGGGTATGGTGAGATGGTCTCTCTGGGTCTGCTCAGTTCTGGAACAATGACAAGATACAAATTCCTCCACCTGTAAACATGAGGCCCACAATCTGATGGTGGCAATGGCAGCAGTGTGGAGTTCCTAGAGAAGCAGCACTGTGGGGTCTAGCTTGTGGAGGCTGCCAACTCTGCTCAGTGGTGGAGAAAGTGTGGTGTCTCTCTTGGTGGAGGGGTGTCACATGATTGTGAATTCTGTTGTGTTGTTCTAAGCTGTGAGTCAGGCTGATTCTCCAGACCTGGTGAATATGAGCTGCCCATTACATTTATATTATGATAAATTCCTTTTTGGCTTTCATTTTATAAAAGAAAAAAGATGAGGCCCAGACCTTGGATTGCAGTGAATCCGCTAAGGTAGTGCCATCCTCTGAGGCACTGTCTGCACAGCCAGCCACCCCCATGTTCCTTTGCCAGGACACTGCACTTGCCTGCCCATGTGCATGTAGTCAAAGCAGGTTAAGATTAGGATGCCAGCTGTAAGGACTCACTAGGGCAGGTTGTCACAGCATCCCTACCCTGCTGCGTTTTCTTGGTACTTTTTAGGATTGATGGCAGAGAAGGAAAACATGCCTTTAGCCTCTAGATATCATTTATCCTGGTCATTTTGTAATTTTTGGATTGTTGAGATTTGTGCTAAATTGGATACAGTTTTACTCATATTTAGCACCCATTTTCTTTGCCTGAGAAGAATTTTCCTAAGTAGTTGTGAGGAAAATATAACCCTGCCTAAAGAATTTCTTGAAAAAAACAACTTATTCCTAAATAGCTTGAATAAAAACCTTAAGCTGTGACTTTAAATGACTAATCATATTAGCTGTTCATTTTCATATGTACCTTTCTAGTACAATACACTTATAGGTGGTTTTTACTGGTGTTAGTTTTGCCTTATTTCTGTTTTTTTCAAGCTGCTGTTGTGAATAGTAGGAAATAGAAAAGTGGTTAAAATGGTTAAAAGGAGATAAAAAACCAAGAGTGTGATGATGTGCAGATTTGGATTTAATGTGGGAATGAGGGGAGTGATGGGAGCTATTGGAAATGCTGCGGTTCTGTCCTGGTCTCCACCAGGAGTGCGACAAAGCAGGTAATCTTAACCATGTGGAAGGTTTACAACATTGCTTGCAGATCAAATTGAATGAATGAAATAAAGCTGTGGCGCTTCGCACTGTCATTGGGACCCTTACACTAACATCAATATTGTGTACATTGCCTTTATTTTCAGGTCACAAAAGATGTCATTAAAGAATTTGCAGATGATGGTGTCAAGTACCTGGAACTAAGGAGCACACCCAGAAGAGAAAATGCTACAGGTAGAATTTAATTACTTCTCAGCCAATGTACTGTCTTTTTTCCTGTGTGCTTTGATCATTCATGTGTTTGCAAGTTGAGACTATGAAGCAGTTATGTTTACACTATTGTAAAAGTAGAATCAACATTCCAAGTCTTATAATGTACATTAATGGTGTACACTGTTAATGAGTAAGTTACTCTTTAAAAAATTAGCTCAGGGTATTAGCTGTTTAAGGGAAATAAAAAAGGCCTGCAAAAATTTTGTTTGTTCTCTTGTTTGTTTTCTCACTGAGAAAAGAACATTTGCTCCTTATAGTTGCATTGTCTTAAACATAAGCTAATTCTTCTCCTCCCTGCATTAGGGGCACTTGTGAGACAATGCCACTGAGTGGATAAAGAATCGTGTTTTATGACAATCACTGAAATGAGGTTATTCAGTCATTTCGCAGGGACTAATAGTATCTCAGGCCAGGAGCAAGCTATGATGTGGTAAAACCTGTCTGGATGGAGACGAGCAGATCTGGATGTGATCTGAAGAAAGTTCTTGGGACCCTCTTTCCATAAGAATAGTATCAGGAGATACTATGTATTATCTTTTGGTCCCTCCTAGTACC